GTCGGTTGAAAACATTACGTGGAATTACGTGCCATTACACCCTGTCTCATTTAATTAGGGTTCGTTATCGTCAGCTAACACACCTCGATTAACTTTTTCTGTGAGAAATCAATCGATACATCAAATCGACGATTAGGGCTTGGAATTGAAGTCGACTGCTAGCATGGCATCCTCATCTACAGGTATGTATGTATCTGTAGATTTTCATTACAATGGATTCTTTTCACCAAACCCATTAGTGTACTTAGACCCCGTAAAAACAAATGTACGTGATGTGGATTTTGGGGGATTTACGTATAAAGAGTTTCTTTTGTAGCTTACGAAATTAACCAATGGAGCCTGTGATAATGTCTACTACTATATGAGAAAGGAAAGCTTGTGTGAGGGTATTAGAAGAATTGACAGTGATGCTGATTATTGGGAGTTTGTGGAAACTATTTATAGTCTGGAGAGTGATAGTCTTGAGAGTGAGCTAGATGTGTACATTGACTACCGAAATGAACCAATTCTTGATTGGGTTGATAACGAGTTCTTAGCAGATGGTAAAGGGTATGAGTCGGATGAGTTGGATGAAGAGGATGACAAGGATTCTGAAGTTTCAATGACAATGGAATATGAACATGAATGGGATGATGAAGATGAACATACTTTTGATAAAACTGTTAGAGACCCATTCTTGGACAAACTTTCAGGGCATATTAGTGATGATGATGAAGAGGAAGCAAACAATGGGAAGCTTAAGGATGTTGTGTTCCATGTCCATAATGAGAATCAAGAATGGAAGCAAATGGTGCCAGTTTTAGGTATGAAGTTTTCTAATCCATTGGAATTGAAGTTGTGTATCACCAACTATGCAGTCAAAAATGGATATGATTTATGGTATGAGAAAAGTGATCATGAAAGGTTATTGGTAAAATGTTGTAAAGGTAAGACAAATAAACAGGGTAAAGGTTGTCCCTTTAGGTTGTGGGCAACCTGGATGAGCAGTGAAAAATCATTCCAGATTAAATCTCTAAATGATATGCATAATTGTGAAAGAGTGTTCAAATTTGGGTCCATTGTTACCTATAAATGGATAGCAAAGCATTTCATGAATCATATACTTCAGAAACCAAAGATGAGTATAAGTAAGTTGAAAGCTAAAGTCAGCAAGAAATTTAATTTGAATGCAAGTGTTGGTCAATGCAGAAATACAAGGAAGTATGCATTTCAGGAGATAGAGGGTACTTTGAAAGAGCATTATGCAAAAACATGGAGTTATGGAGAAGAGCTAAGAAGGACTAACCCTGGATCAACAGTGAAGATGGATGTAGATGTCATGCCTGATGGAACCACATATTTCTCAAAGTTTTATGTATGTTTCAATGGATTGAAGGATGGATGGATTGAAGGTTGTAGGAGGGTAATTGGACTAGATGGTTGCATCCTAAAAGGCATATGCAGAGGTCAGTTGCTCTCTGCTATAGGTAGAGATGCAAATAACCATATATATCCCAATGCTTGGGCTGTTGTATCAGTGGAAAGTAAAGAAACATGGAAGTGGTTTATTGACCTTCTAATTGAGGACCTTGGAATGGAAGTTGGGCATGGACTAACCTTAATATCAGACCAACACAAAGTAATCAATTTCTATTATTTTCATCTTTATTTTAGCTTATGTTATGTTTTTGTTGTTTAAATTTTGTGTCTATTGCTAACAAGGATTACTTGAGGCTGTGAAGGAAAGGGTCCTAGCAGCAGAGCATAGGCAATGTGCTAGGCATATATGTGCTAACTTCCTGAAAAGGTTTAAGGGCCAAGTGTTTAGAAATCTTTTATGGTATGTTGTTGCAGCTACTACCCCTGCAAAATTTGAACAACACATGAATGAAATCAAGAAAATTAGAGCCACTAGCTTATGACCATTTGATTGAAAGGGACCCTAAAACTTGGAGTAAAGCATTTTTTTCAGATTGATAGGGCTTGTGATGCATTTGAAAATGGTATATCTGAGAGTTTCAACTTTGTGATTGAAGTTGCCAGGAAGAGACCACTAATCACCATGTTAGAAGAAATTCGAATTTATGTGATGGAGAGGCTTTGTAAACAGAAGATTAAGGGGCAATCTTAGGATTTAACCATATGTCCTACCATTATGATGAAGTTGTCCAAGCTTAAGGATCTTCAAAGGTAAGTGTTAAAAACTATTTATCCTTATATATGTTTGTCTTTAAACATGTTTGTCCTTATATATGTTTGTCTTTAAACATGTGTATATGGACAGGTTTTGGAAAGTAATACCATCTGGTTATCAACAGTATGAAGTCAGACTTGGGTATGATGCATATGTTGTGGATATTGGTAGCAGGACATGTGCCTGCAGAACTTGGCAGTTAACACGTTACCCTTGTATGCATGGGTATGCTTGCATTGCAAGCCTCAACATGGATGTAGAGGAGTATGTGTCACCATGGTTTACCACATCAATGTACCTAAACTGTTACAGATATACCATTAACCCACTAAATGGTAGTAACATGTGGCCTCATGTAGACTACATCAGCCCATTGCCCCCTAAAAGGAGAAGGCTATCAGGAAGACCATCAACAAAAAGGAAAAAGGATCAGATTGAGAGGGAAAACCAAGGAAAAAAGCATTCAATCACAAAAAGAGGTAGTGTGATGAAATGCAGCATGTGTAGGGAAAGTGGGCATAATATAACAACCTGTCCTTAGAAACCAATTGGGGAATCATCAAATGCAAGTTCAAAGAAAAAGAAATCCAAGAAAGCTAGTATGTTAGATATATTTATTTATATATAACTTGTATAACTTAACATATTTGGCATAACTTAACTTTTCAAGTAATGCAAAACAGATAAAGTGAAGGTTATATTGGCACGTGAAGTTGATATTGACAGTAACAGTGAAGTTGAAATAGAACCTAAAAGTGATGTTGACTCTTTTGATCTTGAATTTGAAGATGATGTGCAACTTAAAGTTGAAGATGGAGTAGAACCTGAAGTCCAAGATGGAGTGCAACATGAAGTTCAAGATGAAGTGCAAGCTAAAGTTGAACCTGAAAATCATCCTGAAGTTCATGATGCTAACCAAGTTAAAGTTCACCCTGCAGTTCAAGCTGAAGTTGAACCTGAAGTGCAAGTTCAAGTTGAAGATGCTAACCAAATTGTAGTTCAAGATCAAGTGGAAATACCAGCTTTTCAAGTTGTAGTGAGAAAGAGGGCAAGGAAACCTTCAGAAAGAATTACAAAACTGAAGATAAGAAAGATGTGGGAGGGAAAACAAGGAAGCAGTGATGACAATCCGTATGATTTGGATTAACTTTTGGCTTATTGTATTGTTGTTAATGTTTTTGTCATCTTTGACTGACATCTTTTATCTTTGGAATCTTTTGGCACATCTTTTGAAAACTAGTTGGAATAGCTTAAATGCATGTTTAAGTGTGTAGTGTTTAACTTTTTGCACATCTTTTGGGTTTAATGAATGTTTAACTATGTTATGTAAAACTTTTGACACATCTTTTGAAGTTAATGTTCCCTGGAATGTCTATAATGTATTACCATCTTTTGCACATCTTTCTAATACCATTTTGTATTATTTATAATTTATTACCAACTTTTAGAATATCAACTGTAATCACAGTTCCTTTACAGTGTAATCACAATTCCATTACATTGTTTGAACAATTCAATTCAAGTGATTAACACAATAACATTACAAGTTTTATACACTACCATTCCAATGATTCAATTCCATAACAATGTTTATTACTATCTTTTATACTACCAAATTTAATAACAATGATAGAATATAACCCTTTTCATTGAAAACATCACAAAAGCATACATAATTTAGTCATACTACATCATAATACATAATTTAAAACCACATTTTGACATACAAGAGAAACAAGAAAATTAATGCAAGTCTATAGGTAAACAATTTCCAATTGACTTTGTCAAGTTCTTATTTATTCCTGTTCTTCTCTTCTTCAATCTTCATCCTGCATATGCTGATTTCATTCTCCAAGGTACAAATTTTCAAGGTAAGATTGCAGCTTTCTTCTGCTTTCATCCTGTAATGCCCTCTTCCATCTTTCCTCCCTTCATCCTCATCCAACCATTGCCAAAGTTTACAGCTTGGACTTTTTCCATTCTTCAAGAAATTTATAAAAACATGTTAAATTGAAGGATGAAGAAAGAAGTAAAAAATATTTAGTTCAGGTTACTAGTGAGTTGTTATAAAAACATATAAAAACATGAATTACCAGTGAGTTTTGACAAACTCTGAATTTCCTTCCAGGATTGTCTGGGGTTCTTGATGTCTTCACACGAGATGACAAATCGCAATCACATGGATGATCCGGTTGCAATTCGTCTTGTCGTTTGGAAGAAAAGGATGAGGAAGAAGATGCCATCAATCGATCTAGGGTTTTAATTAATAAGCTGTCGTATCTCACCCCTCTTATAATGTAAACACTTCTCAATGTCACGTAGGTGATGGGTATTGCAGCGTACAAGCCACGTAGATGCCACATCACCCAAAACCTACAATAACCGGTAATATTGGTTATTTGTGAACGGCTGAAACAAGTTAGTTAGGTAAATGAGTACAAAAAAAAACAATATTATCCATATGTGAACATTTGAAATACTTAATTACCTTAATAAGTCAAATTCCCAAACATCTATTAAAAATAGGATAATGAAGTAGTCAAATTGAATCAAATATAACAATTAAAAAGACTATCAAGTATTTTTTATTTTTTTGTTAAGCAATGATAATTAAGTAATCAAATTGAATCAAATATAACAATTAAAAAAGCCTTCAAATCTGTATTGTTAAGCAAATGATAATTATGTAATCAATTTGAATAAAATATAACAACTAAAACGGAATAAAATATAACAACTAAAACGGTCATCAAGTCTTTATTGTTAAGCAACCCCATGATGGTATTGATAGAATGCGGGAGAAAGTTTAGTAAGATTTGACTATTAATTGTTTAACTTAAAACACAGAACAAAATAAAAAATAGAGTAAATTTCTAACTTAAAACACATGGCAAAATAAAAAATAGAGTAAATTTCTTGGTTTCAGTGTAAAGTATTTTTATTAACATTTGAGACTTTTAAAATGAGATTCGTTATGATTTTGGTGTCTCAAAATTTAAAATTGCATTTTTCTTTTTCTTACTTTCTTCAAGGGTTTGATGACCTACCCTTCCCTTCTTACATTGGTAGAAAATTCAGCCCCAACATCTGATTCCCCTTAAAATGGCACATCCGCTAATCCCTCCTAAATCATATATATCATAGGATTACCCTTGTTTCTCGTTCGTAGGAGTTTTTTTTTTTATTTTTTTATTTTTTTTTATTTTTTTTATTTATTATTATTATTATTATTATTATTATTATTATTATTATTATTATTATGTGAGCGTTGTTTTTCAACAGATTTGACAAATTGTTGCTAAGACTAAGACGTGGGCTTAATGAATATAGCATTTGGAAATTTAGTTCGAAGTGTAAGATTATATTTGGCATACTAGCTGAAAAGTTAGCTGATGGCTGAAAAGTTTGTTAATAACTGAAAAGCTAGCTGTTAAATAAAAAGGTTGCCGATAGCTGAAAAATTAGTTGATAAAAAAGACGTTTGGTAAAACTAACTGAAAAATATGAAATGACGTAAAAGGTCATTTAAAAGAATGTTTTTTATAATTAATTAAGGGATATATTTGAAATTTTTTAAAAAAGCTCCTAAAAAGCCAGTCTAAGTAGCTTTTTTAAAAAGCTAGCTTTTAAGCTACTTTTTTGCTTGCCAAACATGACAGCTTAAAAACGTTTGAAAAATAAGCTAGCTGTGGCACGCCACACACAGTCTAAGTATTACAGGCACACTGGTCTCTCTATTCATAGAATATAAACTTAAAAAATGAAATATGTATAATCAAACCTAATGAAAGTATGAAACTGCTCAAATATAAATTTAAACAATTATATAAAATGAAAATATGAAATATGTATAATCAAACCTCGTGAAACTATATGTGCAAGTCAACATATTCACTAGCAACAAATAAATGATCTAAATTATGATCGGATCACCTGTGATATTGGAATAGGGGTTGTAGTTGGAGTGTTGTGATCAAACAGAATATGGTGTGTTATTGTTCTATCACAAAAGACATAAAAAGGTGATACGAAACGAAAGTATCTTTTCTAGAATCAAAGGAAGCTTAAAAAAAGAGTAGGCCGAGTCTGAACGCGAAGAAATGGATTTCGATCGCATGATTCGGTGATCAGATTCTTGAGCTGCTGCTTAAGAGTTATGATATATTGCTTAGAAACATTTAGAAACATAGTTTTCACTTGTAATTGTATTATAAGGAAAAGTTTTCCGTATATTATAAATAAATAAAATTTTGATTTTGTTTTATTTTATATCTCCTTACAATGACATTTGTGAAAATCGATGTTTATGTATGTTCTAGCAATGTTCAGTATGGATTTGATTATTTCGTTTGTGGTAGTGTCATAATTTACCAAATAAGAAAAGATTCTCATCCCCAAAGTTTCAATTGGACAGAAACTTGGAATCATGCAACTTGTATTGTGTGATGAATGATAATTTTTGTCTTTAGGAAATTAAGACTAATTCCTCTTTCACATGAATATGTGAGTCAAGTGATGGACTAAGGGATCGGGTACACTTGATCGTGCGCTGGTCAGGTCCACCACAAAGAACGATAAGACTATTTGTTATGATTTACTAAAGTAAGTAAATATGGTTATGCTTACAAGTTTAAGTATAATTCTGACACATTGAAAAAGTTTCAATGTATGGCAGAACGAATGAGAAGAATCAAATTATGCAGAAAGATAAAAGTTTCTTCAATTTGAAAAGATGGGAGAGTACTTTAGTATAGTGTTTTATGATCATTTTAATGATTATTGAAAACCATATCACAATTAATCCTCTAAGGATATCTTAGTGCATTTGTATGGCTAAGAAGAGGAATCGTGAATTGTTGAAATGGTTAAATCAAGAAGATGAGTCATGTTGTAACGTCTGTAGATCAGGGCTAGTCAATTTAGAGACGTTATGCGTCAAAAATAACTTTTTGATGGAAGATTATTCTGAAGGAATAATCTTAACTAAGTTGTAGTATATGTTACAAGGATCACGTACATACAAAGAACGCCAAAATCCGAGTTATAATGAAGAAGTTATGACATGTCGAAGTTTCGCGACAGAATCGACACGACGTTGAATGACGTAAAAAGTGAATTTACGTTAGAGTGATATTTAGCCTTAGCGATCTAAACGAAAGTCGTATAGTTCGTTAAACCATAAGCGTGCATAAAAAGAATGTCCGAATCTAACTTTGTATGAGGAAGTTATGATTTTTCTAAGTTTCGACTTAGCGGTACAGCCCGAATACTCGATTTGAGATCGAGCGGTTTTTAGCCAAAACAATCTAAATGAGAATCGAAGCTCTTGTTGATAGTAGTGCAAAGGTACAAAGACAGACGAAAATGGACGTCGGATGAAGAATTTATGAATTTATAACGGAGTTTTCGTGTCCCGACATACTAAAATAATATAATAAAAATAAACTCAAAATTAGCCTACGAAGTCTAAACGAAAGTTTTAGATCGCACTCTCACCTACGCGGGGATATAAATAACGTCGAAAACGGAGCTCGTATGAGGAAGATATGAATTTTTGAAGTTTATTAAATAATTAAAGTAAAAAATTTAAATATAAATTCGGATATTATCCAAAGGGGGGGAGTCACCGGGCTTATCCGGGTTACGCCCAGCGTACCTGGATTTATGCCCAACGTAATTCGAAGAATCAACCCCTATATAAAGGGTGCGAGGGTAGCCGAGTTCCTTGCTCAATTCCTCTCCTTTCTCTCCCGTTTTACCTCGTTTTTTGTGCAAGAAATATCCTGAAGCCCCGGTATCATTCACGAGACCCGAAGCAAGTCCTGAAGCCCGAAGATCCCGAGAAAAATAGTTTTCGAGCCAAAGCTCTGCCCACGTGAAGCCCAGTTATGAAGGAAACATCCCGGTTTCGTCGCAGAAGATTATTTCAAGAGTCGTAGTGATGTCCAATCATTTTCTGATCAAGTAAGTGTGTGGTCACTTTCTTCTAACACATAAATATTAAGTATTTACTATGAAATACGTGCTATATATAATATATTGTTGTTTATTTGAGATGATTGTGAAATGGATGAATTATATAAATTTTAATGAGTTAAACTATATATGTATTTTGTATCTAAAAATATGTTGGGTAGAACATGGGTA